ACTATTTGCTGCAACTGGTACACTATAATTGAAAGGTCCAGTTACCTATGCATAGTTAGGCAGAGTTTGCCAAATTGTAAGTTGCTCAAGTAAAGGGCAAGACAATCATAACCCCTAAAACATGCAAAAATGAGAAAATTTTGAACATGAAAAAATGATGGATGAAAAGGAATTTAGAAAAAATCATCAGCTATATTAGTATTTCTTGAAAGCTGGGCTGAAGAAAACACAGGGAACCTGAAAAGCAAAGTTGCATGATTTATGTACCAGAACTTTTTTTTTAAAAAAAAAACAACAGTATAGTGCAAGAACCATAAATAAACTCAGAGGAATGCCAGTGTGGAGGAAGATGAGATGGGGGAAATGGCGAAATCACAGATTGGAAATGTCAGTAGTGAAAAACTTGAGTGGGCGGGTAGAGAGAGAAAGAGAGAGAGAGAGAGAGAGAGAGAGGAGAGTTACAAGAAGACATGGAGCCTGATAAGATAAACAAGGAGGCTATTACCATTTATTCATTTATCTTTATTACTAGAGAATTGTTCCCATTAGAGGGGAATTTATGAGAGTGATTTTAAGTTATAGCATGTTTTAATTAGTAGAAGAAAAAAGTTAAGATTCAGAATACAACACAATAACAATTTCATTTCATTATTACATATAAAAGCTGTCTTTTCGTAACCAAAAATATCAACTAATCATTTGTTAATTAGACCATTTTGTCAATAATTGAATTTTTAAAATTCTCTGGGTGAAATTAGACACAAGATATTCTTCTCTTTAGGAGTCAATTACAAAATTTAACTTCCTTCACAAAATAGTTAAAATGATACTATAGATTTCAGTTATTTTTTTGTTTGCATCTAGAAATGTCTGTAATTTTAATTTTTTCTATGTGCTTGATATTATAATGACATAATCTATAAGATACATAAACATTGCTAAGAACAAAAAAATTTTAAACACTTTATGGTTTTCTAACAATTTTTCTAATATGTTTTATAGATACACATGCATATATAATCTAGATTAAGGAATAAATTGTTATCATAATTGAGGAAAAGTGAAAAGTATCATTTTTACACAGCCAAAGCCTTAGACCCTGTCTTTATTTTTTTTTTACCTGTTTTTTTTTTTTATTGCATTTTAGGTTTTGGGATACATGTGCAGAACATGCAAGATAGTACACACGTGGCAGTATGATTTGCTGTCTTCCTCCCCTTCACCCACATCTAGCATTTCTCCCCATGCTATCCCTCCCCAGCTCCCCACCACCACTGTCCCTCCCCTATTCCCACCAATAGACCCCAGTGTGTGGTACTCACCTCTCTGTGTCCATGTGTTCTCATTGTTCATCACCTGCCTATGAGTGAGAATATGCGGTATTTCATTTTCTGTTCTTTTTTTTTTAATTGCATTTTAGGTTTTGGGGTACATGTGCAGAACATGCAAGATAGTTGCATAGGTACACACATGGCAGTGTGTTCTGCTGCCTTCCTCCCCTTCACTCACATTTGGCATTTCTCCCCAGGGTACCCCTCCCCAGCTCCCCCCCACCTGCTGTCCCTCCCCTATTCCCCCAATAGACCCTAGTGTGTAGTACTTCCTTCCCTGTGTCCATGTGTTCTCATTTTTCATCACCCGCCTATGAGTGAGAATATGTGGTAATTCATTTTCTGTTCTTGTGTCAGTTTGCTGAGAATGATGTTCTCCAGATTCATCCTTGTCCCTACAAAGGACACGAACTCATCATTTTTGATTGCTGCATAATATTCCATGGTGTATATGTGCCACATTTTCCCAGTCCAGTCTATCATCAATGGGCATTTGGGTTGGTTCCAGGTCTTTGCTATTGTAAACAGTGCTGCAATGAACATTCGTGTGCCTATGTCCTTATAGTAGAATGATTTATAGTCCTTTGGATATATACCCAGTAATGAGATTGCTGGGTCAAATGGAATTTCTATTTCTAAGGCCTTGAGGAATCGCCACACTGTCTTCCACAATGGTTGAACTAATTTACACTCCCACCAACAGTGTAAAAGTGTTCCTATTTCTCCACATCCTCTCCAGCATCTGTTGTCTCCAGATTTTTTAATGATCGCCATTCTAACTGGCATGAGATGGTATCTCAATGTGGTTTTGATTTGCATCTCTCTAATGAGCAGTGATGATGAGCATTTTTTCATATGTTTGTTGGCCTCATGTATGTCTTCTTTTGTAAAGTGTCTGTTCATATCCTTTGCCCATTTTTGAATGGGCTGGTTAGTTTTTTTCCTGTAAATCTGTTTGAGTTCTTTGTAAATTCTGGATATCAGCCCTTTGTCAGATGGGTAAACTGCAAAGATTTTTTCCCATTCTGTTGGTTGCCAATTCACTCTAGTGACTGTTTCTTTTGCCGTGCAGAAGCTGTGGAGTTTCATTAGGTCCCGTTTGTCTATTTTGGCTTTTGTTGCCAGTGCTTTTGGTGTCTTAGTCATGAAGTCCTTGCCTACTCCTATGTCCTGAATGGTTTTGCCTAGATTTTCTTCTAGGGTTTTTATGGTGCCAGGTCTTATGTTTAAGTTTTTAATCCATCTGGAGTTAATTTTAGTGTCAGGTGTCAGGAAGGGGTCCAGTTTCTGCTTTCTGCACATGGCTAGCCAGTTTTCCCAACACCATTTATTAAACAGGGAACCCTGTCTAGTAGATTGATCATTTGAACTCTTTCATTTGAAAAATTGTCCAGTTTTTAACCTGATAATGGATAAGGAACATAATTCCTTGCCTTTCTCCACCAAAGACTTAAAGATAAATATTTCTTTTTAACAAAAAATTAAAATAAACATTAAACATTCCCAAATTTTCTATCTGGCTTCCTCTTGTTCACGTTGAAAACACAACAGTGGGGTGTCAGAAAGCTGTTAATACCTGAGAATAAAAGCATAGTGCCAATACACATGAACAGAAATTCTGTTCAGACATGCTGGAGATTTCTGCAGAAACTAACAGACTCTAACTGGCTTCAGTAGTTTCAGCCATCTACATCTTTTTCTGCTTATATAAACAATTAATATTTTGGGTTTCTTTTGTAAAGGAAATCATGCAGAGATTTTATGCATTCTCCCTAAGCCTACTTAATATCAAACTGACACATGGCTTAAGTGAATAGAATCTCCAATTTCCTTTTTTTGTTCTAGAGCTACTATGAGGTAGTAGAAGTATGTCTGAATGCTTGTCAAAGAAAAAAAAAACTTCAAAAGGAATATTTTGAAATAAAAAGAAGGCAAACACGTGTGTACCCTCTGTTTCCAACTCATTGTATCATTTTCTTTACAATGCTGAAAAGCATAAAAAAATAGGAATTAAGATGTCAAAAAAAGAATTTTTTCTTTTTAAAAAGGCTGAGCTGGAAGGGATAGGGATGTTTAAATCCAAAAGGAAAACTAAGGTTTGAAATATCAATTTGATCTCACAAGGGTTTTTTTTTTTTCCTTTCTTTCTTTCTTTTGGCAGTCATTAGAATAAAAACAGGAAAAGTGCTTACACATGGATATGAGTGGCAAAACGGTAAACTCTCAAAAGGATAGCTGTAAGTAGTGATTAATACAATTTAGTGATAGACATTACTGAAGACCAGATGCCGAACTAACTGAAAATCACTACTTAAACTGGATAAAACATTTATGTGATTTCACACAACACACAATTCAGGATTGCTTGATCTTACTGGTCAATGGTATTATCAGGGCCCAGGGTCCTGTCCTTCCTTCCACCTGCCATTCTTTGTGTTGGTTTCATCTGCAGGATACTTGGAAACATGGAATGTCCTTTGAAGTTATGGATTTGTGTAGAGCAGGCAGTGTAACCATTTCTTCTTGTTTAAGAGTAACAAAAAGTTTCTCAGCAGCAACCATCCTGTTCCCATCTCTAGCAGATTGCCTCCCAGGTCTCACTGACCAAAACTGGGTCACCTGCTGGCTCTTAAACCAGCCACTGTCAAAAAGAATGAGATTTCTGTCACTGAATTAATTAATCACTGTCTGTGTCTGCGTTATATTTGAGGAGATCATCTTCCTCTGTATTATATAGAATTTTTATTAGAAAGAAAAAAGCAAAAACTGTAGGAAATCAAGAGTAAGCACAATTCTATATTCCAAGATCAAAGAGAATTAAACAGAGTAGATAAGTGTGGAATACTGAGACATGAGAACCATATGCAGAGAAAATGGGTAAATAAGTTTTGTGTCCAAAATTTAGAAAACAAGAAGAATGTATGGAATTATTGAAAATGTTAAGAATTGAATGGAAGTAACAAACATTGTTGAAATACAACTTGTAGCATAATATCTCATATTTGGGGCTGGGCGCGGTGGCTCAAGCCTGTACTCTCAGCATTTTGGGAGGCCGAGGAGGGTGGATCACGAGGTCAAGAGATCCAGACCATCCTGGTCAACATGGTGAAACCCCATCTCTACTAAAAATACAAAAAATTAGCTGGGCATGGTGGCGCGTGCCTGTAATCCCAGCTACTCAGGAGGCTGAGGCAGGAGAATTGCCTGAACCCAGGAGGCGGAGGTTGCAGTGAGCCGAGATCGCGCCATTGCACTCCAGCCTGGGTAAGGAGCGAAACTCCGTCTCAAAAAAGAAAATTTCATATTTGGCAACTAAGTGAAGTTTCGCATATATATGACAAGCTCCACAATGATTAGGCAAACAGAATCCACGGTTAATGACTAGCTTCAGAAACAAAGCTCTTTTAAAATATTTCATTGATAATATTTACAGAAATCTCCGGAGGTATCTGGAATCGCTATAAAAACTTTGGTGTTAGGGGTCCAAAGTGGCTCCCGCCGGAGGTCATGGTGCTCGCGAAGGCGAGGTCATCAGTTCAAGGCTAACCTGAGCAACCTCATAAGCTCAAACGGATTGGCAAAAAAAAAAAAAAAAAAAAACTTTGGTGTGTGAAAATACGGTAAAGGATAATGACTACATTTCTTTTCTCTCTTGTGCCTCTGGATCAGGTTTCTGTTATCAGTGGAACCTATCTGGGCTTGGATTACATGAGTAAGCAAAATGGAGGTGAAGGAGGCATCATTATCAATATGTCATCTTTAGCAGGTAAGGGCAATTATTACATTAAATGTCACATTTTCTTACTGGTAATTTGGACCACAAAAACAAATCTTCAAAGTATATTTATTATCAACTCAAGTTTGAAATGAAAAATCTGATTTTTTATAGTTCCACGGAGTTTTCTATTGCATAATGTCACAAGTTTGAAAAATATGTTTGTATTATTTTAACTTGTGGCTTTTAAGATTATCTTACTGCAGTACTGTTTGAAAATATATGTGTATATTTTTCAGAGTTACTGTTTTTCAAAGGTTGTTGCGAGATGCCTAAGCAATAATGCATGGGAAAGCACTTTTGGCAAAGTAAAAGGCACTAATGTGAAGTTAAGGTGTCTCTGCTCCCATGTGATTTTAGTAAGAGTGTGTAATTTTAAAATATGGTATAAATCATAGTTAAGATATGTTAAATTAATAATAAAGCCAAACATGCCATGACTTACATCTAATATAAGCATATTCCTTACTCGTCCATCAGTCCAAAACAAGGTCCTTGTTGCAGGTACCTCTTCTGTGTGCAGACACTTGAGATCCTGGCTAGCAGAAGTTCTGCTATCTTTAGCAGGGAGCTCCCAAACTTACTCCAGAACTGGTGGATTCATTTGCCTCTAGAAGAGAGAGAAAAGAAACATGGAGGAGGCATGGCTACTCTTTGAAAAACCCAAAGTTGAATAATGGCAGACATTATTCTGCTCACATTTCAGTATAGAACTTGAGCTTACATTTTACCTAACTATAAGAGAATCTGTCTGGGAAATGCAGTCTAGATGTGTGCCTAAGAGAAGCATGGATTTCAGACGGCAGCTAATCATCTTTCCCACGGCATGCAATCCTAAACTATATTTTTTTCAGAGCAGTATGATTTAGTATCAGCTGATATCTTATCCCTCAATACTAGCTTTAAACTTGTGACTGGATTTTTTGGAGCAACTGAGTCAAGTAACTTTACTTTTTCAAACTCTAGGAAAAAATCATCAATGGCTCTTGAATAGTTCAAATGAAATTGTGAGGTTTAGGAAGTCTGATCAATATGGACAGCAAATCTAAGCTGTGTCCAAAAAAGTGAGGCTTTTTAAAATTATCTTCTTGGTTTTAGTGTGGTGATTTGAAAATAGAAATTTCAGCCCCATGCCCACCCCAACTTGGCATCCCAGCTCCACTGATTTGGGAAGTTGGGTTTGGAGGTACCTGAGACTGAACCGCTGTCTATTTCTCAGTCTTTTTCTCACCCCTCTAGGAATGATTGTAAGATGGCCCTTTCACATCACTGTATAAAGCTGCCGCCAAAGGATATTTAGAAGTCTCCTTTAGAAGTTCTCAAAAATAAACTAGCATCTCATTTTCTGGGCTGCTTAAAATCAAAATCATGTCCCTAAAGCTATTACAAACCTAATTCTATACATTTTTTCAGGGTAATCAGGTTATTTTTCCTAGTAGTACAACTACTCATAAATTATAACATTTTAATTCTAATGGTACTTTAAAAGGTGAGAGCATGGTCAATATTTTAAAGGGATATGTATTCCGGAGAGGGCCAGATGTTAAGCTGTGGGAGACTGAAACCCTAACGCAAATTAGCAAAGTTAAATCTATACTGTTTTGAAATAAAATTATAAGAAAAAAACAAGTGACTGGAGAATTAAAAAGAGATATTTAAAGTTTCCTTAAAAGTTCAAATCTTTAAAAACTTGCTGGGGCTGTGATCAAGATTGATACTTCTGTGTATTCTTTCTATAAAGCTAAGAGGGCCAGCGAAGTTTGCAGTACCACGAATATCATACAGGGAGCCCCTGTATGATATATCACCAGAGGCACTGATTTCATTCTTTGAAAGGTTGAAAGCTTCAGGGTTGGATCAGTTTAGGACGATCTGGGAGAAATTCTGTACCATACTAGGGTGCTTACATGCCCCAGAGAGCACGAATAAAGAAATGCAATGTAGTATTGCTGCCTTTTATCTGATTAAAATATTTAAATACATAATGTTATTCGTTGAGCACTGTTTACCTGGTATCATTTTAAACACTGTGCATTATCTCATTTAATCGTCACAACAACCCTGTGAGGTAAATTCTATAATTTCCATTTTGAAAATGAGGAAACTAAGGCAGGAGAAGTGTGAAATATCTTGCCTACCCTTACACATCAAGTAAGCCTCAGAGCTGGAGTTCACATGCAAATAGCCTGGTACAAGTCTTCTTAGAATTTTAATCCCTAGATTATCTATCTATCTCTAATGTCTATGAGTTTATTTGTTAATCCACCTGCATTTATCCATTTCATATATTTCATTTACTAACAGAAAAGTAAAAGAAACGGAAATCTTTTGACTTAAATAAATGCTTGCAATTTGCTAGTCTCTTCAGGTCTCGTGGGCACAGCTCTAATCTCACGGCTACATTACTAAACCTTCAGTGAAATCTTAAGCTTTCACCCTATTTGACATTTCCAGCAAAGCCCTAAAAATATTTGGGGAGCTTACCAGTGTCATAAGTCAAAACAGGCCATTAGGAAGAGCAGTTTAAGGCTTGTAATTCGATGTCCCCTTTGCTCTGCTGGCTAGGAGCTTGCTTTATCATCCTGCTCACCCCCACCCCCGGGTATTAATCTTCTTCTTACCTATGTCAGATACAATATTTGCAACCATGTGTGGGGATTTCTCTATTCATGCAGATAAAACGATGACTTCATATAAATTCAATGAAAAAGGTTTCTTTGGTTTTAAATTACTTTCCTGGCACTGGTACAGTTTAATGAATAACATTGCATTACACACTGCTTCTCCCTCTGACTTCCCTCCCCATGTGCAAGGCAACGCTACGTAAAATGGTTAAATAGCTTCAGTTTATCATTGTGCCCTCTGCTTGGTTAATTACCCTCCATTTTCAGGTCATCCTTGGCACCCTCCCTTCGCAATTTCAACCTCCACACCTCTTGTGTTTATACTGTTTCCACACCGGCCAGTGTGGACAGTCCCTGCTACTTCCTTTCTCACCCACTAACATGCCTCATCTCACAGTCTTAAAACAAATTGCCTTGTATTTTGTCAACCAACCAAGAGCCTCCAATTCTTCCCATAATGAAATTCGTTTGATAAAAATTCAGGATATTGTAATAATGGGACAAGGCAAAAGAGGCCTCCTCTATCTTCATCATTCCCTCAGAAATGGTCTCAACAATTGTATGCCCTTGAGTCATATCATGTAGAGAGAGGTGAGAGGATCAAAAACATCTTTGAGGAGTTATCGGAGTACTTCTAATATTTGCCTACCTGTGTTTTCCAAACCTTCCTTCCTCACAGATTATTTTTTCCTGTTTTTCTCCATACGGCTCACTCTATTCAAGGAATGGCTGTGGGTGATATTCAATATTCAATCCAACAGAACTATCCTCATGATCTCTGGCATGGATGCAGCTGAATCCTTCACTGTCACAGTAAAACCTTAAGTTGGCACACTGGTTTGAGTAGAGAAGTTAATGAGTAATGACCATTGACGCAGACAGAGTATCAAATGCAATTAATAGGTTCAACAAACAGGAGTAGTTAAGCAGACAGTGATTCCTCAGCAGATTGTGGGATGGGTGTGCTCTAGTCTGGAGTTCCAGAAGTTATTCTGACTGTTGTTAACCCACATGGACTTTTCAACATGAGTTTCTGTTTATAAACGTAATACACAAACAGACACTGACTTTGCCTGATCCATCCTGAACCATTAAAACGAAGTTGGAAGGAACAATAGAAGAACAAAGTCTGGTTCACTGCAGAGAATCCAATAGCTGTGCTGCCATAAAGCATCCCATAAAAGCCCAATGCACTTCTTACATATTTAATTGCCTCCAACTGTGGGAAAGGAAACGTAATTGTCACAGGGAAAGGAGCCTCTCTGCTGACCCTGCTACATATTCGGTCAGTGAGGCTGTGGGGTTCTCTGTCACTCAGTAGCATTTTGTGAGAGATACCATGAGGATCTGATTTACTCAGAAGTGAAAACGTTGGAGTCTCAAGAAAATACTTGAAAATCAGAAAATGTTCAGCATGTCTTAAGTGACAATCCAGTGACATATCCACTTGTGCTGTTAAGTTTTATTTATGTTAAGGTAGAAGTGCTAAAATAACTATTAAATAAAAAATTAAAATTAATCAAACATATGTTGAGCATTTGCAGAAGAGAAATGGAGATGTTAAAGTAATGAGGCAAAGTTTCTTCCCCAAGGGCTGTATATTAGCGTCTCTTATCAAGATGACACAACCAAATAATTTCCATGGCATAGACTATTTAAACAGAAGCATTGGCCAGGTGTGGTGGCTCACACCTATAAACACAATGCTTTGGGAGGCCAAGGCAGGAGGATCACTTGAGGCCAGGAATTAGAGACCAGCATGGGCAACAAAGCAAGACCTCATTGCTATAAACATTTTTATTAATCAGCTGGTTGTGGTGGTGTGCACTTGTGGTCCTAGCTACTCAGGAGGCTGAGGTGGGAGAATTTCTTCAGCCCGAAAGTTCACAGCTGCAGTGAGCTATGATTGTGCTACTGCACTCCAGCCTAGGCAACATAGTGAAACCTTGTCTCTCAGAAAACTTTTTTTTTTCAAAATCCCAGAAGCATGATATTTAAGTTGCAAGGCCTTGGGACTCTAATGGCCTGGAGAATGGACTCGAATATCCAGAAATTTCAGGTGAAATAAAACATGAATCGTCTTCTTCTATCTCCTGGCCAAAAGTAAAAAAAGATCATATGATACCACTGTGTATTACTGCTCTTGTGATAAGGAAGGGGGTCTAACACATATTTGGCAACTGCTAAGCTCCAGGCATTGTGGCAAACTGTTGGCTTTATGGCCTCCACATTTAACGCTTACAAGTCTCTACAATAGAGGACAATTTAATTATCTCCAAATTATAGTTGAACAATGAATCTCAAACACTTGAAAAATGTGGGAATTAGCAGTGGTAATAAAAGCAATTTTATTTTGCTCCATTTTAGCCTGTGTCATAGAATGGATGAACTGTTCCTGTGTGGTGAATCTTAAGTGCTCAGATGCCAACTGTAATGAGTATGGGAGCCACCCTTCCTGCTTAGTGCTGGCAAAGTTCTCCATGTCAGACCACAGAGACTGGTGTCCATTTTGCTGTCTTCGGGCTTAAAATAGTTAAAAAGACATATATCAGAAGCAATCAGTAGGAATGGTTACATATTTGTAAACGAGACATTCTGAAGGATAGATGAGAATTTCAGGGTTTTTTCGCATTCCTCTCTCAGGAATGAGAGGGCTACGGAGAGACCAATAGTCTCCTAGAAAGGTGCTTCTCATACTCTCATGTATCTAGGGACTTTGTCAGGCACAGATTCTGATTTCAGTAGGACAGAGATGGGTCCTGAAATTGTGCTCCCAGGTAATACCACTCGGTGGACCATACTTAAGAAGCCAGCCACTGGTGTGGATCAGGATGGTTGTTCTTTGATGGGTAAGGAAGCTTCTCAGTTTCCTCTGACCACAGCCTGGGCAATGACTGAACGCTAGTAGCAACTCTGAGTTCCTGCAAAGTTCTATGAGATTTATCTTTCTGGGAAGATTTTTGTTATAGAACATATAGTGGTTTTATGAAAGCATGTGTCATTTTTTAATGGCATGTCACACTCTAACACATAACTTAATGGCAACCATAAGGACAAGGACAAAAAGCCATCAGATAAGGTGTTCCATTATGTAGAAAAATCACAAATGAGGAAGTTCACCAGTTACTTTAGTCAGCTTTATGCACGAACCATAGATAAATGTATTCTCACTAGTTCTCCCTTTTTTCCTCATGTTGGAGAAGTGGTTAAAACAGAGAGATAGATACACGGGTTTTTTGTTGGTGGTGGTTGTAAAGAAAATGTGACAGCTTTAGGTTCCTGCTTTTTTAGCACAGTTACAGAACTCCAGGTTAGCACACGAGGATCAGCGTCCTTAGATTCACAATTTATTTTCCTAAGTTGAATTTTCAGCCTTTTTATATAGTCCATTTTACATGGTTTCTCTCTCCTTAGAAAAAAACCATGTTTGTGGATTCAGTCTGACTGCCCTATCTGAGGAGATTTCTGTTTTTGCAAAAAAATCTTTTTGAGCCTTTTACCTTCTGTGAAATAAAGACATTAAAATTTACTTTTGTAAATATGGGTAGAAAGATTATGAAGAATAGAAGAACTAATGTAGAGATGGAATTTAAATTCTATTTTTCTAAGTGACTTTCTTTGTTCTGTTAGTACACATGTAATTTTCAGGTATTTTAAATGCTATATACAATTATCCCATCAGCCTAATTGTTTAGTGTTATTATCCTGAGTGGTTTTAGAAAACATTTCTTTGTTTTGTGGGTAGAATTTCTCCCTCTACTGATTTTCTTTTTCTGTGACTTCACAGTTATGACAGACATAGATCTGGTATGAATTATACTTGGTATATTTTAGAAAGAGCCATTTTGCATTTCTATAAATAAACTTGCACAAAGGTGGGCCAATCATAAGTACTGAAAAATACCATCCTTAACTATTTTAATATAAGGTATTCATTTTTAAGCACAAAGACAAGATTTCTCACAATGTTAAACAAAATGCCATCTCTTTAAAAGCAAGAGCCCGCTCTCTCATGGTTATTCTTAAAACCCTTAACGTTGTGACAAAATAATTTCCATGTGCTCCCTCATTTTGGGAATGAATGTGAAAGATAAAAACAAAAAAAAAAAAACAAAAACATACTCATTACAGCAAAAACAATACCTATAGTCATTATATTGGTATCTGGTTATTCAAGGTGGAATTCAACTGGCTATTACACCTTCGCCCTGCAGCAAAGGTCCTCCCACTGGTTTCACACATTTCCATTGAATATATTTAAAATATTCCTTCATTATACTTTGCACTTAAAAGGAGCTGAACACACAGTTCCTGTGTGAATTTACTTCTGTATATCCTGTTGGTTTAGGATTGGAAACTGTCTAGTTTGCCAAG